TTTTTTATAGATTTCCTAGCTAAAAGTATCATTTTATTACTTCTGAAAACAGATATTAATATTGCCTAATAGTTAACCAGTTTAAACCTGTCAATTATAGTTACATATAGTTAAGCTGCTTGACATCAATTAATACAAAATTGAGATGTGAGAGAATACAGATGATTCTTGAAAGAAGGAAAAAACAGTATGGATTAATTAAAAAGTAATGATAATGAACCCCCTTAAGTACAAACCATGTGCAATAAGGATTTTACTTAATTAAATATGTCATATTTGGTATACTCAAGGAAGGAATACTGTGTGACTGAGTATAATATCCCAAACCTTTTTTCTTCAGATTTCAGATGTCCTTGATATACACTGCATGTGTAGTGTTTGTTCATTTTTCAGGACTAACATTGGTTTCAGGGATCAGTCTGTTTGTGGGTTCTTTTACATCTGAGCACTCATTTTAACTATGGTTTTGGATCTAAAATAAACCAAGACAAGGTCTCCATGGTGAATCACCACAACGACCATCTGGGACAGTTATCAGATGAAAATCTCCATTCATTGCAGTTTCATCAACTAGCCCAGAACAGGCCAGAGATGCTTGACTAAGAAGAAATAGCATTATTTTCCTCTACCCCCCTACCCAGCTTAGCCTGGACCCAGTATGGTTCCGGGATGCATTAAATATGCACCTGAAAAGTTGTCCAAATAATTTTCACAATGGGTTATCAACTGCTTTGGGAACTACTGTACAGCCCTGAATAAAACGTCCTGCTCGATTAGATACACTAGGTATAATCATAGTACCAAATGAATGAAAAACGGGAGCTTCTGGTTGCACCAAAATGGCAACCTGACTACCTTATTTTTTCAAGGTATCCTCTGTGACATAGCAGGTGTAACTGTGCGTGGATAATTGAGCTGTGGTGTCACCGGCTTTCAAACTAACTCTCCTAGTAGGGGAGTAGAATGACGGCGTGGAATCGCTGAGATGGGCTATTTTCTCTAGGATTTAATGGAGCTTTGAAGCCTGATAGAGAAATGAAGGAAACTTTCTGTCTTTAAGGTATTTTGATTAATAAGCGGTGCTGCATAGGCAAGGTCCTGTGCCGAATGCTGGGGCACTCATATGAGCATCCTTATAGGGCTCTTAATTGGTCGCGCAGGTGTTGCCTATGATGGGAAGCTCTGCATTCTCACACGGCTGTGCAGGAGGAAAGCTAGAGGGTAGTTTTTCGTTGCCTCTCAGGGCCCCCTAGTGGTGACCAACAGTAGCAAAGCACACAAAGCTTTGTCTGCTGTGTCACACAGGATTCAAATTTCCCAAAAAACTGTCGTTGATGTGTAATCATCAGGCTGCTGGATTAAATGATGTAATATCGTTTAACCAAACAACTCTTTATTTTCATCTTTTCCGATTAGCAACACTGAGACTGACCAAAAAGTTAGATTTTTTTTTCTATAAGCAAAATTATTTGTATGCCTTTGATGTCGTCTTCTTTCTTATTATTAAATTGAATCATAAAAATAGAATAGATACAGTTTTTCCCTCTCGTTCAACATTTTTACAGCAGATACAGTATGTATCTGTTTTCAACTGTGAAAACATGTTGGAGAATCATTTTATTCTTATTTTATATTGGCTAATATCCGTGTAGTTAAGGTGGTCACAGTTATACAACACAGTACTGAAGTTTCTCTTCTCAAGTATACAGTATTCATGGCTATAAGCAGACACATTTTTGAGTTATAATACAAAAGATCTTTTCAATTCTCAGGTTGAAGCCAATTTGATTCGAAGTAGAAGTGAATTATTTCCATCCATCCATTTTCCACATTTTCTTCATCTGCATCGATTTATCCAACCCAGTGTCACAAGTCACTTAGAATCTTAACTGGCAAGCAAAGGGCGCAAGGTGGGATACAGTCCATTACCGGGCACACCTAGACACAAACACACGTCACATGATTCATATTTTAGTAACTATTTCACTGAAGATGTAAATAATTCTTAGAAATTGTTCTTTACTAAGAACTATTCAACTAGTTACTAATACTGTATTAGTATTAATTTCTAATACAGAAACATTAATATACAGTAATAACCACATTGCTTTACTGCAGTATTTGATGGCAGGGGGGTTTGTGAGTGCTTTATAGTTGTCAAATATTAGTGAAATTTTCTTCAATTCTAATGCAAACTTCTTTGATGTAACTAAGAACTATAACAAGATTACTACCAAATTACTGCAGTACTCCATTAGAATGGAACTTAAAGCTGTATAAACTGTCCCTTACCTTTCTGAAATTTCCTGATTTCTCAATGTCATGTTAATTCCAGAAAATGACTTCTTAAGATATTAATAGCTATTACAAGTATACTGTATATATAGTATATTTGGCTAACATTTTAAGCCTTTGTTTGTAAGCTCAATACTAAATAACTTTGATTACTGTGTTGGCCCATTAGTATTCCTTATCCTTCGTACCTAACAAGGAATCATGAAAGGGAAGTTGTCAGTGCCCATCAGAAGGAGCATTTGCAGATCTACTTTACACAAGCAAGAATACAGTTAACAACAGACCATTCAATTCCATCACATACAGTAACGCCCAATTTGAGTTGATCTACTGTGCAGTCAACATTCCTGCCCGACTGTACGAGCATGAAAGAGCATATGGAAGACTCTTAAAAAGACTGAAACCGTATCACCAGTGTAGAATCATATCAAGTGGGAGGACGAACACAGAAGAATCAGTCTCCTGACCACAAGTTATTATCATCCAGAGTTATGAGCACACCAGGAAGATCTGGGACAGATATAACATAACAAGGTTTTATTTCCTAATGTTTGCTTTCATTGGTATGTTTTTTTAATATTCCACTACAGTATATAACTCCTGGGCCTTGACCATAACAGATGGAGGAAGAAGTACAGATCCCACATCAATCGTGTCTAGAAACTTTGGGTTCATGAAAGGCAATCACCCTTACCTGCAAGGAGCAACCAATGATAATACTGATGAAAGAAATGAATAAAGTAATGTTTATCGATTGATAAATATGATGAATTCTCAGCTTGTTGATGTAATCTTATTTGGTCAAGAAAAGTCTTTCTGTTTTTAAGTAGTGCCAGATTTTTTTTTTTCTTACAGTTTCTGAATTCTTTCAAAACAAACGTTGGTGAAATAGAAAGTTCACAAATGTTCTGAAACTGCATTTTCTTTAGTGAGTGAAGTTAGAACAGAATCTCTTTCAAAGAAGTAATAAAAAAGAAATATGACTATTCCTTCAAAATGCACAGTGCTATCTCTAACACAGTGTCAACATCAATTTGCCCTAGAGGATATAATGTTGGCAATGTGCAAGGACAGGCCCTGTATATTTCCCATACTTATTGATTACAACACTGGAACTTCAAATGATAGATGAAGGAGTACTTATCTTCAAAAAGGATGGAGGGAACTTGTTGGAATCTTATTTTTTAAGCTTTGTGGATTTTGTTGAATGGTTTCCTATCTTCTTTGAATACATATAGGGAAGTACTGTATATAAATGGTTTCCTAACGTTTATTGCAAAACGAGAGAAGATATTCTTTGACAAGCTTTCCATTCAAACAGTTTCTTTTGTTCAGCTTTTATGTTCTGCCAGTTCAAAGCTACAGGTAGCTTCTGTATTTTTTATGTTGCATTATCAATGCTATTTAATGGTGCTGTTATTGCCCTTAGGAAAAAAAACGTGAAAAAACCCATGCAATTAACATGGGAAACCATTATTTAAAATAATATGTTATCATACCAGTATCCCATTTAATATAATATGAAAGAACTATATTATAGTTATCATGCTTTTTGCTTTTGTAAAATGGATTTCAAATTATGTCATGAGCAAAATTTTTTCTTCAGCTGGAGTTTGTGTGCTAGCTTGTCCTCTTGGACATCCTGCAAAAAAGAACAAAAAATGTAAAGGCTCTTTCTTGTAAAGAGTTGGTCATATAAATAAATGCAATAAATACTATATGACCTTAATCCAAGTGGCACAGTAGTTCTTATAGCTACTCTCCAATCTGCACTAGTGATGGACCCAGACCCCTAGGTATATGATGCCATTAAATGTCTTGAAATGGTTGTCTTACAAAATTTTGAAATACTTTCGAGTCTTAATGGAGAATATTTGAGCTAGGGTTCCCTTAACCTAATTTCTAAGATTCTAAAATGCCTTAAAATGCTTGAATTTTTTAAAGACTCACATATTTATTTTGCCTCCTGTGAACCTGAGATTTCATTGTGTATTGTCACTGTGGGCGGAGGAAAACCTTGATATTCATCTGATAATCTCCTGATCAATTATCTTCTGACCCTTCCTGAATGCATTTTCTTACAGACTAAACTTAATTCAGTAGGGACGGCAGTGTTTACCTTTGTCAGTAGCAGTAATCCTGTTATGGATATCTTAAATTATAATTACCCTTTGACTGTGTTTTATGTCTTGTGTCCTTCATGTTTTGGAATTTAAACAATTAAACAATATCCACATAATGCATGCTATTTAGTCCGTGCAGAATGAATGTCATCAGTTTTGAAGACCCTCTTTGCTGTGTGATAATAGACTTGTTACTGCACTTCAGACATGTACAGTATGCAGTTATGATGAATCCATTTCCATTACCTGTTATTCAGCTTCCTCCAGAAGGGGACAGGGAAGTACTGTACACTGTCCCTTTGCTAATGCTTCCTGGTGGTCAGGGGCACAAGCTATTTTTAAGGGCAGGAGTACTGAGAAGGAAAGCATAAATGTTTAAGCATACTGTATATTGTAGCATTATAGCATGGATAAGGTGATGCTGTACAAAAGACCATAATGCACTGCACAAGACCAGAAACTATAACTGAGGATTTATAGGAGATGTTAATAATTTTGAAATTATCTGACAAAAAAAAAGATTTGAAACCAGATTTGCGAAATCCATCTCTCAATGAAGATGTCTGTGTCTCTTCTACACAGCTCCTTTGACAGACAAGCCACCAAAGGTCCTCTTTCCTTCGGAGAACAAAATGAACATCCTGGAAGTGCAGATAGGTAAGTCCCTGGGTGTTATTAAAACCTTATGTCTATGCAGTAAGGTAACATTTTTAGGCAGTGTATTTCTAGGCAATGCAGATGGCTACATTTTAATCATCCATTGTGAAGCACCAGTTTAAAACTATAGACTCATCTTCTACTCTGGTTTTCAAACAATGTCCTGTGCTGATTACCCTTTTCACAGTAGTAATGCAAACTATTCTTTCAAATATAACGAATGTTTATTTTTTGCGCTTAGATGCTAATATGCCAAATATAATTGAACACATACTGTATTATGCTGTATTTAGTGATTTATTGTTCATGGGTTTGTGTTGCACAGCTGTAACATTTGAGATATTTATTTGAAGTAAAATTATTTTCTGTTGAATATAGATTTTTGATACAATTTGTGTAGATCCCTTTATATGTTTTTATTCAATATTTTTTAAAATATTTCCATGCTACTTATGTTTCATAGCACTTGTTTTGCAAAGGGAAGCGACTGTTTTGATCATGTTTGCTTTTTTGTACAAAAGGATAATCTTGAAAGCTTAAAATATTTGAGCATACTTCGTTTTTTTGGCAATGCCTACTTGCACATGGTGGATATTATGCTATAAATGGCAAATAGGAGCAGATATGTCTGCTGTTAGGAGATGGATTGCTTGTTTGATCATCTGGAAAATCTATGAAATTGGCATCTTTTTGTTAATTATAACCTTTCGGGTTTGGTCTTTCATGTTAGCTTTTGCTCCAGATGTGTGCTCAGTAATGTGGTGCAAGTTGTGAAGCACACATCTATATTTTAGAGGTAGATTAATTTGTTTTTGGGAAAGCTTTCCTTTTTCAAGGTGTGATGCTATTTTATGTCCCTTAAGCAAGCTACTGTATACGTCCTGCCTGTATTCAGAAGCCTTTGAATGGTCAGGGAAACACTCAGTAGGTGATAGTGATGGTATATAGTTTATGACAGAAATCTCCAAATGGAATTCAAAAGAATTAATGCAAATAGAAGTGTATTGAGGCCTAAGTTACAGTAATTACATCATTATTCATTAGGACTTGTTTTCCAAGTTACTCCCTAAGCAATCTATTCAAGCTTAGCAATGCCTGACCACTACCCAGCGCAACAAGGATTCCATAAAAAGGAAAATCAGAGAGGATGTATGTTATTCAGTGAAAGCAGATTGTCTTGGTTGGAACATGGAAGGACTGAAACAGCGCATTGCTCCTTGGATCAGATGACTGCAGTATTGCTAAAAGCAGACCCTGACTGATCATCCAGAGTGCACTTCAGCTGACTAAGTTAGACAGGGCATCAGCCTGCAATACCGCCTGGCTAGGACTCAGCAGCAACAGTCATAGTCTCGGTCACCTTCTAAAACACCTAGAACTGCCACCTACTTTACATGATTGTTAGATTTGAACTAGGTCACAGCTTTCGTACTCTGTAGATGTAATAGGGAGTGGAAGGTATGTCTATAGGGAGAGTGTATTTGTAGCTGTCTGTCAATGGAGGACAATCTCTAAGAACTTGATGGTTTCTCAGGCAGCCTCAGAAAACCATTGCAGGTGGTGTTTAAACATGCCCTTCTGTCCTCCTAGAACATGGAAAAACCCTCCATGCTAATCTTAACATTTTCTGACATACACAAGGCCACAAATCGCTACACAATATTTAAATCAAACTATAACTGTTGGCACAGATAAAAGAGAAACGAAACAGAATGAGTAGAATAAATCTCTTGGGTTCTACAGCCAACTTTGATGCTAGCTGGACATAAAGAGAATCTTGTGCAGACATTCATATCAAAACAGAGGCTGTAGTAGCATGTTGGTCCAGAATTTTAACTCAATCTTGAAAATAGTACTATTTTGGTACATTGTGATTACTATTCAACCCAGGGACAGGATATTGATTATGGCTGCCTACATTATCTTCCCAAACATTCAGCATGTACTGTTTCTAATAATCATTAAATAACAAAGCTGTGGTTCTCAATGAGTTTATTATTGATTAGAAAGGTTTCTTTCTAACTGAAACTTGGCACCTACCAAGTGATTTTTCACTGTTGAATGAAGTAACTCCTTCTGTAAATGACTGTGTTGAGAAATCATGCGAGTCTCATTGAGTGGTGGTGTGTAATCGTGAAGATTCTGCTTAAATATGTTTTCTGCACAGAGTGTTACATCCCTTGAATACATGGTTTTTCATATGACAAAATTGTTTCTGGCTAGTTCTGGTTTACTTGCCCCTAAAACTACTATGTTTCAGTCTGAGCCTTTCTGAACTATTGCCATTGCTATATACAGCCTCTGTTTTTTACTTCTTTGTGATTTCACTATACATGTGAATTTTCCTGACTACTCAGCTCTTTCCATTTTCTTTAGCCACCTTAGAATGCTTTAGTTTTACTTAATGCCTCAGAATTCTGGGCTGTGACCTTTGCTATTGAGTATTTCACGTGTTGCCTCTCAATCAGATTATTTGCCATCATGAACTTGGGTTTACTGTCGACAACTCTCTGAACTCTTTTCAGACAAAATTAGGTAATATTGCAGTGGTAGCTGCTCTTTACAAGCATCTGCCAGAACCTGAAATATGGTTGTAACTGAATTTATGGTCAGCTGTGACAGCGTGGAAGTTATACTCATAGGTTTCAACATCATCTTCATAAAATAGAAGACTTCAGTCTTGTTATAAATGGTGCTGAAATTAAAGCTTTGATGTAAATTAGACATCCTGGTATTTCTTTTAAAACTATTATCCATTAAAGTGCATGTTAGGAATGTCCCAAGTGTAAATTGCTTTGTGCAATATCACTCAATTAATACTTCTGATTATCTGATGCTGAAATATTGATATGCACATTTATTTTATCAAGATTAGATAATCATGTCATATCTACTGGGATATCTAGAAAGGTGCTAAGAAGGTTTCAGTTTGCCCATAATTTTGCAGTTCGTATTCTAACAAAAACTACTCTTCATTAGCATTCAACTCCTATCTTTTTTTTAATTGCACTGACTTTCAGTGAAAATTAAAATGAGCTTTAAACTTCTCCTGCTCACATGTAAGATACTGAATGGCGCTGCTAGAAAATCTTTATGGAATTTATTGCACAAGTATAGTCCATCTTTTAATCTGCTGAATCAGGCCTTTTTACTCTGCTGAAGAACAGGCTAGGCTCCACGCAAAACTGGCAATAAAGTTTTTTCAAGTGCTGCACCTCATTGCCAACAGAACAACAGAGCCCATTGCCAAAACTATGGGAGAAAGTTCAGAGGTTTGTAAATGTTGAAAGAGAAGCAATCACAAAGAATATAATTACATCAGGTCACATGATAACCCCTGGATGAAGGTGTGAGGGAATGCAACTAAAAATGATGAGCTAATGAATTATACATGCTGCATATATGCATGTCTAGTTTATTAGCTCATTATAGTTAGTACATAATGCACAGCTGCTATGGAAATAAGGGTATTATTTTTGTGTGAATTGTTTTTAAAGATTACAGTAATCTGAAATTCAGTGTGACTTCAGTGCGCAAAGTAACTGTAAACTGAATAAAAAAGAGGGCAAAGCTTTAATAGGTTCTTTTTCCACTCATTATGTCTTATAACGTTTTTTAAATTGTTAATTTAACTATTTATCAACATCACTATTTTAACTATTTGCTTAAGTTTGATGGTGTAGTAATTAAAATTTGCAGAATGGGGAGAAATCACTGCCTCCAAACTTTCAGAAGTCCATCTATAAGCCAGAGAGTGTGTGCTATTGGTTTATTGACAATATGCAACTCCAAGACAATTTATTAGGATCAATTACAATTCACCCAAGGTCCCATATATACTCACAAGTCACAGAATGGATTAGGAAGAACAGAGCTAAATAGCGTCCCCCTTGGGGGAACTCATGTATGTTTTAGAAGCTAAGGGAACATGGGAAATGAAATTATGCAGAACTGTATGGCCCAGATGTGTATTTCTCTAAGCTTTAACTTGAATCATATTGTAGTAAGCATAGAGTAATAAGCATACCAAATTTGTTAATGCCAATGTTAAAGGAAATAAGCAATTATTCTGTGCACAATAATGCATCTGCATTTAGATGAAAACTTTATCTGACATGATGATTATCCAGTGAACTCTCAGATTGAAGGGCAGTTGAAGGACAGCATGGCAGATCTAGTAGATGGCACAGAAACCACAAAAATCGAAACCCATAGACCTGTGTAGTCTAGTCAAGACACAGGAGGTAAGAGAACTAATGAGCTGGTAGCGAAAGTGCAAGACTGTTGCCATAGAAGAGACTTAAATTGTAAAAAAATGCATTTTACTAGAAACATACACATTGCAAAAAGCTGATGATAAAGTAATATTGCCAGAATCAAAAGTGTCTCCACATCATGAAAGGAAGGTCTGAGAGCTAAAGATAACTAAACATACACTGACAGAAAAGACTATAACTTATTGTAGTTAGCTTTGAAATCCCTTCTTTACCATTTATTGAATGCATTGCTTAATGAATGAGTGAAGTGGCATGTGTTCAGTACTATGTTGGAAGCTAGTACTAAGTTAGTTTTTTACCTGGATTATCTACCCCAAAAAAGTTATTTAAAAACTTCAAATCTAATCTAATAATCATTAAATAACAAAGCTGTGGTTCTCAATGAGTTTTTTATTGATTAGAAAGGTTTCTTTCTTACTGATTAGATTTGAAAGAAAAGGCTGGTGTATTGTCAAATGTTTCCCAAATTCACATGATTTAAATGTTTTACTTTATCATAGACCATATAAGTAGAGAGAGAGGAACAAAAAACACATGGCTTCTTTTGAGCTTCCTGTTGATATTCTAAATTATATCATATTGCTTATATATTATGCTATTTATATCATAATTTGACAAACTTAATTTTCAATTAAAAAACAACTCTTTACTCAGCTTTCTACAATGACTTAAAATCTACAGTACATTGCTAATGCCATAATTATTCTCATTTGCTTTATATAG